CGATTATCAAAATAATCATTTGTTGCAGCCCTACCTGAAGGTATGTTGAAAGATACAACCCAGACAGCAAACTGACATTGAATCAACGTGGAAACGACGTCTCTCATGACATTGAAACAACGTTGATTTTGCTCATCGAATTAACGTTGAACCAACGTCAGACGCGGCATTCTTCAAAGCTAAATGAAAATCGAAAATTGGTTTGCTTTCATAACGTTGAAACAACGCGTTGATTTCAAGTTGATTTTCCGTTAGTTTTGAAAGAATGACGCGTCTGACGTTGGTTCAACGTTAATTCGATGAGCAAAACAATGTCAGATCAACGTTGTTTCGATGTCATGTTTCTACGTTGATTCAATGTCAGTTTGCTATCTGGGAATATACTTACTGAACGGCATCACACTCATGTAATCGTTCAATCAGTGTTTCAGCAGCGGAAAGACGTCAATAAAAAAATCATAGCTTGTAACTAGAATTATATTTACCTCAACAGGCGAGTGATTCAGTGTCCACAACTTTGGTTCCTATAAATGAACTCTTGCACTAAATAAATGCACTGTGTTAGCCTTCCCTATATATTATATTTGACTTAACCTGTTAATGATATCTTGATTATTTAAAGGGCACCTATTATGCAAAATTCACTTTTACATGGTGTTTGAACATAAATGTGTGTTGGCAGTGTGTGAGCAAAACCACTCTAGAATGATAAAAATCCACCCAGTGTTTTTTTTACAATCTCAATAAATCATATGCATTGTCTCAGAACGAGCTGTTCTAAGATTTAGCGCTTTGTGATGTAGAATTGAGCAAGGGGTTTGATTGACAGTGTGGTTGTGGGCTTGTGGCATAGACGCCGCCCTCAGTGATCTGTACGCCATCCTTCATTGTTTCAACGACAGCCGGTAATGCCTCTTGGAAACATAAGTGTTCTGTTGTGGGATGGGACGTAATAATGACATACATAGTGGTTTTCACTTATTTCCGACATCAGAGCCACTGAAAACACAGTGGATGTATTGTATTTTTTGAAGTTTAAGTGACGCCTTTCCTTCATAAATAAGTTTATGTTTGAGCGAATCATTCAAAGCAGGTCTTGTTTCAAAGTAAATCCTCAAGTGTGGATCGTCGTCTACTGTTTGCGATCCAACGACACCTCCAGTACCAGTAAGTGTATTTTATGATTTTTGAGCAAGTAGTCATTTCAGTCGATGTCAGCCAATTCAACAACAAATGCGTCTAAAGTTGTTTTCGTCGTCGCTGTAGGATGTCTTGTGTATATAATTTAAACCTTGTTTGTATAGTGTGTAACCACACGATTATAAATATATATATTTTTAAACATATTGTATTAAAAACTGCATATATGTTCTTGTTCTGTAATTTAGCCCTCTCCTCACATTTGCCACAGAAGCACCTGTATGACAAGTAAACATGACGCAACAGGTCCCTCGTATACATGTAATTTCACTTGTACGTAGCAAACTTTATCACAGTATGTGTTCAGTTTCAAAAAATTGCGCCAACGTTAGTGTTTGTGTCTGTGTGTTGCACATCCATTATTGCAAAGAGGACGCCATTACAACTATATTTAAGTACATAAATGTATCAATTAACCATACCGAGACATCCTGGTCCATTCTCATTTGTGTTTATTCTGCCGGAGTCTCTTTGTCATCTGGGTCTGATCAGAGACTATTTATATATTCCGATTCAAACATTTACGGCTGAATGACATTCAAAACAGTGCGTCTCTCACTCTCAGCCCTTTTGCTTACACCGACTGCCATAGTATACAAGTTACGCCCTCATCCAAAGGCCAGGCGGGGATATGCAGCTCATTTGCATTTAAGGTGGTACACACCAAAACAGCACATTTTATTCTGTGCTGAAACTTCACAAATACATTCTGGGGACACCCAATATTACATCTTGTAAAAAGGGGCATAATAGGTGCCCTTTAAACAATCTTTCATGAAAATGACAACTGTGTAACTGTAAATTATTATATTTCAATAACAAATTAGAGTAAAACACAAGTTAATAAAAAAACTGCCTTATGTTCAGTTTACATGTTTTCATACAATGTGTTGTGTTATTTATGTTATAAGTCTAGGCTACAACCTTTAATGTTATAATAATGCACGGCTCCCTATTTAGTTTACTGCATTAGCAGATTTTTTTAATCCTTGTGAAACGTTAAATTGTAATTGAATTAGTTTAAAGACAAAGACATTTTTTTCGTTAAACCACTGTTTAAAAACAAAAAACAAAAAAAAGAAAGCAATTTTAGCTTTCTAAACCGAACCTAACCAAGATGTCAAAACCGTGGGAAAACCGAATCGTCAGTTTTGTGTATCGTTACACCCCTAGTCTCTTCAGAAAAAATATTACCAAAATCCATTTGAGCCGGGGAGGTTATCGAAATTTGGTTGATTTGAAATGGAATGACCAAGCAAAAAACCTACCATCCACTGAAACCTGTGTCGCAGATGTGCATCTAGTTTATTAAAATTTCAGCTATTTATTTTGTGTAGACATGGTTTATAGGTAGGCTGTTTATGGTTGTAATTATAAAATTAACATGTATTGAACATCTATTGAACAATGTAAGAAGAAGAAAAATATAACTAACATAAAAATCAACTTATGTGGAATTACATGTGTTAATATATAGGACTTGGCTCCTTGACATTGGCTTACATAACAAATACATTATATATTATAGTTTTAAAGTCTACTGTTTTGTGCAAAGCTGTTATATTATACTGCTTTGATTTACTAGCAGACATTAATTTGTCATCTTTTCAAGTATTAAAGTATATTTAATGTAATTCAGCTGATTATTAAAAAAATATATTTCTACGTTATGTTTCCAGCAAAGATAACTAAATTGTAATATACCCAGTTGTTATCATATATATATATAAAATGTCTCAAACCATGTTCCCCTTTTCCCAATGGAAAAGCCATTGTAAGGAAAGCACAGAACAGGCTATTTCACAGTAATCACACAATGGATGACAAACTTCCTGGCCCATATGAACACACGTATGTTTGGTAGCAGCTTTGTGGCCCCTAGCATGCTCGGTTGCCTTGTTTGGAGGGAATACATTTCAGTGTTTACTATGTAGCTATAAATAACAAGGTGCAACTGTGTAGTGTCGGCCCGTTGTTTCGCTTGCCTCTTTTCGGTGTGGCAACAACCCGCAGCTGACGGTGTCGGGGTCATATCGGCATGCTGTCATGAGCCTGGCAGCGGCCTGCCTCGCCACCGTCCACCCATACATCCCTGCCAGAGCTACAGCCATTAGCAAGCGTTCTCCGGCCGGGGCGGAGGGAGGAGGCAATCAATACTCTGACTCATTCTTTCTACGATGGCTGCTTCATAACAGGATTCATTAAGGACAAACCTAATCATTTTGGCAAGATAATTAGATACAGGGAAGCATTTTTTTCCCTCCATCGATGTGCTTGAAAAGAACATGGCAAACTATGAGGTCTCGCTAACTAAAAATGTAGGTTGTTAGCGAAAGGGAGTGTCCTGCGCCAAGGCTCCGAAGTGGAATAGCAGCTAAAATGAACAATTCCATGACAAGAAAATTGAGACCCTGCAATTAAGACATGAAGAACGTCCCAATTATCTTGACAAGACTGAAAGTATTACTGGATGATGCAGGACTGTGTTCGATATGTTTATTAATCAAAGACATGACAGAGGATGGAACCACATATTTAGGACTAGGGATCAAATGTAAAAAAATGTAGAATCAACCACTGGATGGATGGACGGACACTGGACCGACATGGATAGATAGATAGACCTAGATATATAGCAAACTATGTTTGCCTCTGAGCAACAAACCTTAAGGGCTTTCTAATCTTTAACCAACCATGTAAGTTCGTTCTAACATTTGATTAACTTTTGGAATCCAATAGACCAAGAAAAACGAGGTCATCAAGGAAACAACCACCCAAAAATAGACAATTATTAAATGGTCATGCACACAGAAATACAGTGTCATGTCTGTGCCATTAGTTTTCTCACATTAAGAAAACCATAGTGCAGATTTAATATACAAAAAAACAAATGTATGATTTATAAGTAACTTAAGAGCTTAGCTTAACTTCAAAAATGTATATTCAAAACAGAAATATAACTGGCCTTTTAAAGGCCACCTTCCCACCAGAAGACGTTTTTTTAAACTAACTGTGACTCAAAAATCACTTATTTACAGGTATTCATCTGTTATATGGACAGTGGATGTCACTTGTAAAGTTCACTAATCTTCTTCAACCTGTAGGTTATCTCTAAAGCTAATTAACTTTGATGGACCGTCAGTATTAGGTCACAAATTCAACACCCCAATAACCAAATTATACATCTCATAACTAGGTTTCCTGAGGTAAGTTAATCACATAGGCAAAATGATCAATTTCCATGGCCATTTATAAATTACACAGAAATGGAAATAAGTGAGGCTCTTTAAAGATATGCCAACTATCCATGAAAATATAAATAAACTGAATGCTAACTAAAGAAACTGAATAGTTATTACATTTAAGTTAGCGAACAGGAGTTTGACTGTCATAAGTGATTTGACTGGCCAGCGATAACCTTCATTAACTATTCATGCTACCGTGAAGATTGGCCAATTTATGAATCCCATCTAATCTAGACAACTGTAAAAGACCGAAGATAAGACTAAAATTACAGCATCTAAATAATACAATAATCTCTTCCACAATTAATTAACTCCTTTAAGACTCACATACATTAATCTCATTATAACTCCCAAATGGTCCGTTTAAATAGGACAATCCGTTTAAGAAAAATCAAGATTTGTGGCGTTTAATTATCTATTTTGGTCACGAATGAAGGCCGTGACTATAGCTAACTCGCAAGCGACCGTTAAAATAAAAATAATGAACGTTGAGAATTACATTTCAAATGTGACAACTCCGCGAACAACTATTTCGCGCGCTTTGTTTTTTCTTACCTTCGGCGTGGAGTTTTAGCTCAAATCGGCTCTTATCAGAGCGACGTGGCCATCAATATCCGGCGGCTTTAGCTCACACACATCCCCGCTGCAGGTCGAGGTGTCTGCCGGGTCGCTGCAACGCAATTTCCTCGCGCGGTGTGTAAGCAAGCGGCTGGCTACCGGTTCATCCGACTAAATAAAACAGGAAAGCAGGCCAAAACTGTCCTCCATGCAATCAAATATAAAGTCCTGTGGTTTTACAATAGAACTTACAACTGAACTGACTGACCAAAACATGCACACGTCAAAGAGGAAGTGACAGGACTGGTTAAACCACACTAGAGCTCGAACTCGGCTGTCACTGCCTTTGCATTGTTGTTGTCAGCATATAGAGCAGCGAGAGAGATCTTCCTGCATCATGATATCCGCTGCAGCTGATGTGGTGGATCCTTTAAAAACAGCAGGCATAAAAACAGTACAGGTATGCTGATCCGTGCATTAACGTGACGTCCCGTGGGTTCTGTGGATCTATTTAAAGCATGCTCTTCTTCAAAACCTTGACCTAGCTTTTCGGTGCGCGCACGTCCTTTCCTTCTTTCTATATTTACCGAAAGTGCGAGCAGCAGCATCATTTCTGGTCCGATATCATTGGATGTTAAATTCGCCTCTCCCCTTCCTCTAGTCTAGGCCGTTACTTTTCCGTCGCCGTAGCGCCCTCTGGCGGCGGCCTATCGTAGTGCGATAGTTAAATCGCTGAGGTAAAAGTTGAGGTGAGACTAAATTAAAATTCTGTCACTGTTTACTCACTATCACGACTTCATATAATATCTGTCTTGTGTGGAACACGAAGGGATATAATATTTGTCTTTGAAAATAAAAGTGAATGGGGACTAGCTGCCCGAAAAGTAACGCGAATGTAATTTAAATTAAGGTATAGTTTACCCATGAATTTAAAAATCATTTACTCACCCTTATGTCATTTCAAAGCGGGTTTTCATGCTTCTGTGAAATAAAAGTTAGATTTTTTTGTGTGTGTGCAAAATATCCAAGCAGCTCTTTTCCAATCATACAATGAACGTGAATGGACTGTTAAAGAGAGAGTTATGCCAAAAATTAACATTTTATCATCACTTACTCATCTCTTTTGTTTCCAACAGAAGAAAGAGACACATAACTTACAGGTTTGGAACAACCTGAGGATATTTCCAAACATGTTGGTAACCAAACAGTTGACTGCAGCCATTGACTTCCATAATAGGAAAACGAATACATTTGACGTCAATGGCTACTGTCAACTGTTTGGTTACCAACATTTTTTAAAATGTCTTCTTTTGTGTTCAACAAAAGAAAGAAACACATACAGGTTTGGAACAACTTGAGGGGTAAGTGACATTTCCCAAAAAAGATTCTACTAAAGCCATAGGACCATTCTGTGAGAAAGTAAATTCGAGTAGTTCGCCCATAAATCAAATTATTGTTTAACAATCCCTTCATGTTCACTGAAAATCTTGCCTTCCACCCATACTTTTCCACATACAAATCTAGCATGTCTGCCTTACACACACTTCTTTGTTTACATATTTTCAGAGGGGAATTTTCCTTTTTAGGCTGAATTATGCCTTTGACTCTAAAACAGTTGTGATGAATACAAACACATTTCAAGCTCAATTAATGAATGATCTGAGCAAACAACCAAGAAATCATAATGACCCGACGCTAAATGACACTGCCTAACACATTATTTCCGTATGCAGTTTTAATTGTGGAACATTTTTGTGCAACAGTTAAATAGATTCCATGAGCTACAGGAAAAAAAAGAAGAAATGAACTGTCAACAGGTAACGATGGAAAGCAGAGAAGAGCATATTTTAAATTTCATGCATCAAAGTAAGCAGCACATCCTGTGTTGCATTGGAAAATGTCAGAGGTCTACCTTTGATAACCATGTGTAAACAGTCAGTGCTGGTTTGAGTTTGTGTTCTTCACATGAGATGATTTCAACAGGGCAATTTAGCCTTGCTATGTGCTATCATTCTCTGCTCTTGTATGACACAGGCAATGTTATCACGTACATTTTTCATTAATGAACATGCCACAAACCTGATATGTGAACAAATGATATACGTTTTCAAGTGTCATTTAAATCAAAAGTCATAAGACACAAGTGGAATGGAAACATATGCAAATGAGCTGCCCTGCAGGACTGTATTTTTGCCATTCATTTACCAGAAGCAAATGAATACCGATAAAAATATCTACATCATTCACCTGAATGAGTCGAGCGTACAATTTTCCATACTTCTGTGACATTAAAAAAGTAAATGTTTTTACAAATCTAGGCATTATTAAAATATACTTTATAGTATGTTCACCATGTAATAAAACATACAAAATAGATCCTACAGTAATAAAAGTAGAAATATTTACTTCACATGTACATAGAGTCTCTGTACAGTGGAACGATCGTTCCATTGTAATAATAATTCATATGGTCCAGAATAAAGAAAGCCACTGCATGTGATCATAATTCATGACAGTTCACTGTTGGCTATATGTTGGCAGAAGAACGCAGGATGTTGAATCGTTTTAAAGTCATGCGGATGAATCCGAGGTCACGGTTCACCTTTTCTAGCCGGTTCTCCAAGGACACCTGGGAGATGAATAACATCATCAAGTTTATAATGTTAACACATTTGGGTCATTTGTTATGCATAATCAATAAAAAATTGAGCCTTTCATTTGTAAAGTATTAAATTCACTGGCTTATTAACAAAAGTAATTATCACTGTTGTGTAACAATATAAAACACTTTTTTGGGGTTGAATTTCCAGCAAAAATAACTATATTGTGATCAGTGTTGGGTAAGTTACAAAAAGTAATCCCATACTTTATTTTTTCAAGGGAAAAGTAATTAATTACTTAGTATCGCATTATATCCAACGATTGATTGCATTGATATCCAACAATGATTGTTATGGAAGCTTGTTTCTCCCATGGAATAAAACAATTTAAAAGATAAGCGTGTTATATAAACTCATAATTGCTAATTAAAAAGTCAGAATTGCTAGATATAAATTCGCAATTGCGTATTAAAATCAGAATTCCAATATATAAATTTGCAATAGCGAGTTATAAAGTCAGAATTGCGTGCAATAAACTCGCAATTCTGACTTTTTAACTCACAATATTTACTTTTTTCTCACAATTGCGAGATATAAACTCAAAATTGCGAATTAAAAAGTCAGAAGTGCTAGATATAAATTCTCAATTGCGTATTAAAGTCAGAATTGCTAGATATAAATTCGCAATTGCGTATTTAAGTCAGAATTGCTAGATATAAATTCGCAATTGCGTATTAAAATCAGAATTCCAATATATAAATTTGCAATAGCGAGTTATAAAGTCAGAATTGTGTGCAATAAACTCGCAATTCTGACTAATTAACTCACAATATTTACTTTTTTCTCACAATTGCGAGATATAAACTCATAATTGCGAATTAAAAAGTCAGAAGTGCTAGATATAAATTCGCAACTGCGTATTAAAGTCAGAATTGCTAGATATAAATTCGCACTTGCGTATTAAAGAATTGCTAGAAATAAATTTGCAAATTGCGTATTAAAGTCAGAATTGCTAGATATAAATTCGCAATTGCGTATTAAAGTCAGAATTGCTAAATATAAATTCACAGTTGCGTATTAAAGTCAGAATTGCAATATAAAAATCTGCAATTGCGAGTTATAAAGTCAGAATTGCGTGCAATATACTTGCTATTCTGACTTTTTAACTCACAATATTTACTTTTTTCCTCGCAATTACAAGTTTATTTCTCACAATTCTGAATTCATAACTCACAATTGCGACTTTCTCTCGCTATTCAAACTTTTTTCTCACCACTGCGAGACTATTACGCAATTCTGACTTTATACCTCGTAATTGCGAGTTTATATCTCGCAATTCAAAGAAGAAAAAAAAGTCAGATTTGTGAGATAAAAATTCAATTACCTTTTACATTTTTTATTCTGTGGTGGAAACACTAGAACAATGGAACAATCCTCCATAGATTGCGAAATAAAATCGCTCGTATCATGATATAATATATCTGAATGGAAAGCGATTGTTTTCTCACCTCGTCTAGCCTGGTCTGCAACGTGACCCGGGCCCCGGTCCCAGGAATCCGGCTCAGTGCTGCCTCAATCTGTGGACAATAAATAAATATTTGAGGAAACAGTCACAGCACTCAGCAAATTGCAGGATGGAAACAGCTGAGCTTAAACAACAGGGTTTTGAATTAGCACTCCTCAGCATGATTAGGAAAAGGGAAGCCTGGGCTAAAAATAGACATGATTATCAAGCAGCACTATAAAGGCAGGTTATGTAATGTGTAGTGCTGAGGACACAGCAGAAACACGCGCTGACATCGATCTACAGCCGCTCTCATACCGGCAAGACTCGTGAGGGAGTCACAAGCCGTCCAAACACTCATGTGACGTTAAGACATGCAATGAGCATTGAGAGTTCCTAGTTTCATAATAATGACTTCAGCATGTATATGACCAGAAGGAAAATACTGAATACAACAAACACAAAAATCATCGGTTTTGTCAGCTTTTAGAAATTGCTAAAAAATACAATTTGTATTCTTCTTCAAAACGTCTAACTCAAGAAACTGAATAATTAGTTTACTAGTTAAATATTCTGAATGTACCAATATACTCTGACTTGTGACGCTGCCTGAATCATAATCATACACTGTTCGTTGGTTGGCCAGAGGAGGAGTGAGCGACTGAGGTTTTTTTTGTTTTGGTTTCTTGCCACTGTCGCCTTTGGCTTTTGGCTTGCTTAGTTGGGGACTTTCAATATCCAACAATATTATTGATCTGCCTGCATTGACACCATTATATGAGAACTGAACTGAGCTGGATGTTGACATCACAGTTTTCTCCACAGCGGCGGTATATGAAGAGTTCAGATGCAAAAGCCTCTAAGTGCCATTTGAAATTTTCTTCTAGAATGATCATTTTTATCAAGCTTGTATATTTAAGTTCAGTGATTTCACTTAAATGGCAATGATAATTACCTATTAATTGTTATTTAAGTGAAATTACTGAACTTAAATATACAAGCTTGATAAAAAATCATCATTAAAGAAGAAAATTTCAATTGGCATTTAGAGGCTTTTGCATCTGAACTCTTCATATATAAATGAACTAAATTAATGACTATTTTACAACAAAAATGAACCATCACTGAATTTACTTAAGCTGGACTGTGATGCTATTGTCTTCTAGAAACAAACTTGCATTATTTTCCTGTTATCACTGTAAAGCGCTTTATAAATAAAGGTGACTTGACTTAGTTTATTAAAAATATGTGTATAATAGTGTGTGTTTTACTACATTATGAACTATACTAATACTACATTATTAAATAGTTTAGCTTATTTATTTTAAAATATTTGATCCCACGAATGGAGTATTCTAGAGTAACAACGTGTAACAACAGGAAATATCCCACAATCACCTGCTGCTTTTCCTGTGTGAGCTCATCAAGGAGGCGCTCCGCATCACCCAGCGACTGAATGCGAGGCTGACAGGAGAGGGGCGTCTCTTCACCGGCGTCCTGTGTCTTCA